CCTCCTCTTCTGTTTGTGTACCAGAAAGGCATCCATCAGCAAGTGGTGGCTTAGTGTCCCTTGCTGGGAAAAGAAAAGCTGTCAGATGGGTCATTTTGAGGTGCATTAGCTATAACATTTTGTCTGGAGCTAATGCTTGAGTGAACGAAGGGGCGATTCACCTGGTGTTTGCTGGGGGGTGGGAAAAAGCTCATCTTACACTGAAACAGCTGCCTTGTGCAGCTTTTACACTGCTCAGCCTGAAGTAGTTTGTGCTCTTCAATGTTTCATGCTCTGACAGGTCGTGCCAATAAAAATACTGTTTAAATATTTCCTCTGAATGCTTAAAAAAACAAAAACCAAAGCAATCTGTTTGCCCGATCAACTTTTCAAATAAAATACACATCCTTAATGCAGGTCCTGCATGTGATACTTCAGCCAGATTTCATTAGTTACATTCAAGTCATGGAGAATGAAATTCTCCTTTACTGAATTGAATGCATTCCGCTTTAACTGCAGAGACTCCTACTTCATCCATGTTATGCGCAAACCCGGACTTCTCTGCTGTTTAGATGTTTCCTTTTATAGTAGTGAAGTTGGGCTTGGAAGTGCTTCCCCGTCACGGTAGATGTGTTTTCACTGGCTCGTGTGTGCACCAAGGCTTGGGAGCCTGACTAGAAACAGAAAGTAAAAATGCTTGTTTTTGTGTCCCCTTCTCCTGGTTAACCATGGCAGATGTTGTCTGGGGATTTTTCTCTGCCTCTGAGTGCAAGACTCATGACAGTGTAAACCAGCTGCTATCAACTAGGAAATGAGCTTTACTCATTGCTTGCTTCCTTGTAAACAATGTCCTTAAGTTCTAGGCATTAAAAAAATCATAGTAGTTTCCCTGACATCGGTTCAAGAATCTTGTTTAAAAGTAGATGTTAAAGATTAACCTTTCATGGGAATAAATATTACCTGCCAAAGCTGCTGATGTGAGACATCCTCAGCCAGTGGTCTTGAAACAAGATAAGAGAAGCAGTAATCTTAGATCTTAAAAACTGCTGTTTATGTGATGCTTTCAATAGTCTTACTTTCAAGATGATGGTTAAAGGGGGATTGGATTCCCCTTGCTGGGTGGCAGACTGCATTATAGAAGCTCCCTGAGCTCTGTCTGGGGAGCAGCATCTGGCCACACAGCTTGTTACCTGGGGACCCACCTCACTTTGGATCTTCTCTGGTGTGCCCTGTCCAAGAGGCACAAGTGGCCACGGAGTGGACTCATGGCCTGCCTGGCATGTGTGGGTGTAGTTGTGAGTCTTGTAGTACTGTTTGAGTAAGCAGCAGTGCTGGTGCAGGCTGGGGGGTGACCTGCTGGTGGCAGCTCCACAAGAGCTGTGGGTCGTAAGGGATCCCAAACTGAATGTAACTGTAGTAACTCGCTTGGTTACTTCAGTGGGACCTCCGCTGGAACACGGTGTCCTGTTTCATGAGTTTATTCAAGGAAGATCTCAATATTCCAAGTTATTAAGTCATGGCCTTGCTCTAGAGACAGCTCTGTTGGCACAGTTGCATCACTTATGAAACCAGTGCAATCTTTTGCTGGGATTCCCATCTTTTATCCTGTTGGTACAGAGATCTGCTCTGATGCTTCAGAAACAGTGTCGGCAACAACACAGCAGTTACAAGGTCCTTTTCCACCATGAGCTCATATGTCTCCACAGCTGGAAGGGAGACCCCAACACCAGCTTTGTCATGGTCGGAGAGTGCTTGGGGTGCTTGTGGCACAGAGCACACCAGAGAGGGAAACCTGGTGCAAAAGAAGGCATGAGCCTTCTTGTGGACAGCATCTGCAAGGTAACTGTGTTGGAGAGGGAGTGTGAGTGCCCTCTGGGGTCAGAGGAGGTAGTATGGTGCCCTCCACCTGCCTGCCCAGGCTGGTGAATGCAACAGCCATCAAGGGGCTTGGGTTGCTTCAGGATGGACGGCTCCTATCTTCTCAGTGAATGGTAAAGTCCTAAATACCCAAATTAGTGATTAAACAACCCTTCTACAGAGAAAAAAAGTTAAACTTCTACAGATCTCTGGTACCGGTGCATTCTATTCAGAAGGGGCAGCAGAAAAGGCCCACTTGTGTCAGAGGTTGGCTGTATGTATTGTTAAATGTGTCTATTTATCCTCTGGAAAGTGTACGGGGAGAGGGAGATGTTAGCTGGTTCTCCCTTCCTTGAGGGAAGCAGTGGTAAGGGAAACATGGGAACTTGTTGGGTCGCTGGACTCCAGCACAATACCAGAGGTCAAGGAAGTAGCCCAAAATCCCCTGTCTTATGTTCCAGGGCTTTAGTAACTTCCTCCAAAAGCGAAATCCACATCGCATAAATCCAATTCTTATAAACAGCCAAATGAGCAGCAATAGTCAGATGTGGAGTGTGAGTCATAGGAGGAAAAACAAGGGCTCAGGGGAAATGGACAGGGTGCTGTGGCTGTTTCCTTTGCTTTGCTCTTTGAGGAGTGCCGCCAGCTCTCACACGGAGAGAGATTGATCCCTATCTATAGGCAAAGGTTTTGCATGCAACGTTTGTAACCTTTGTGTTTCTCTTATTCCCTGGGCCACATCTAGGTTTAAGCTTTTCAGAAGGCACACGGGATGAGGCACCCTGAGATGCAGAGGATTATGTTAGCAAGGTCATCGCCTTTAAGTATTCAGTTGCCTTCTGTAGTTTAGAGCAAATATACAGTTGTTGTTATTTGCATGAGTGGTAGTGTTATGCAATTCTTCCATTTTAGGCTTGATAAAGAAATATCCAAAGATGCAGAATTTGCTTTTCATCAATGCAAACACAAACAAGACTGCCTGGTGTCAGAAGGTGGCTGGGTAGGTTACAAAATCCTTGTCCAGCACACAGACACAGCAAGCTGTGGCACTCTGTAGCCATCTCAGGGGTGACTTTCTCAGGCAGAAGATGCTCTATGCCCCCTCTGAGACCAAGAGGTGCTTGTGCTTTTGCAGAGGGTAGACCAGACCATGGGAAGGGGGGGGGGGGGGTTGCTCCAGGTCATGCTGTGTGTCCACTTGGGAGCTGGAGTTATTTGGTGATCTTGGCTTTTAAGCTTGCAGGCATGTCATGTGGCATAAGTTTGCATATTGGCAGCGTATTTGTGTTTTGAACTTGTGTGTTTTCCGGGCTGCCAGCCCCCCCACCCTCTGGCAGTGGTTCCCAAGGGAATGCATTACTGCTGTTTGTTCAGGCTGAGAACAATAACCAAGACCTGCGGCCAGGGCTTGCATTGCCAGGCCTGGATCAGAGTAGAGTTGTGGTTGCACTTCTCTCCTCCCAGTCATGCTTTTCATTAACTGGGGATTTTCATAGTGGCATAAAGCAGATTTTGCTCTGCTCAAGCATTTCCCCTCACAGAAGGGAAATTGTTGTCTGCTGCTCCAGCCAGTGCCGTGCTTGGCAGGGCAGGATGCCACACTGACAAGCGGTGTTTTTAGCCAGGTGAATGAAACCTGGTGTGCTGAGGTGGGAAAGGATTGCACTGCTATTTTTGTCGGACCTGCACACCTGGAGAAACCTTGTCTCCTATGGATACCATGTGATGTGTTTAAAAGAAAGTATAAACTCTGAAGATGGGCTATCAGTCAGCCTGTGCTGGAGGTGCTTTCAGTTATGGTTCAAAATGTGTGATGGGAGAACGAATAATGCTCCCTTCGCTGCTTCTGTGTGCCATCACCATGTCAGCAGTCAGCAGAACATGTTTGTATTTAGATCTCTCTTCATGTTAGTTAGCTGGGAGTCAATGTACTTCTGGCTGTAACTCCCAGATCCACTGTGCCTGGCGCTGGCAGTGCCCCCAGTCTGCACAGACAGAATTGCCAGTGACGGCTGCGTTACATGGGCTGGCTGGGGAGGCTCTGATCTGGGATATCTGCATTGAGACTTACAGGGAATTCCTCTGGGCTTTCCTGCCAGTGCTTGAGCACAACCGTGTCACTGCGCTGCAGCCACGCTGTGCTTTGCTACGCTTTATCTACCTGTCGCAGTGCCAAGTGCCATGTCAAATAAAAGGACTTGGAAAAGCAAACACTAGGTCAAGTATTGCCAGAAGGTCAAGAGATGTGATACCTCTCCTTGACTTGGTGTTGGTGTGGCTGTACCTGGAGTGCTGTGTCCAGTTCTGGGACCCCAGAACAAGGCAGACTGGCCATACTGGAGAGAGCCCAGCAGAAGGGTGCCAGGATGCTGAAGGGACTGGAGCAGCTCTGCTGCGAGGAGGGGCAAGGACAGCTGGGGCTCCTCATTGATGGGGGATCTCATCGATGTCTGTTAATATCTGAGGGAAGGGAGCAGAGAAGACAGCCAGGCTGGGTGCCAGCTGGAGAACAGGGGCTCCCTCCCAACACCAGGAATGCTCCTGTGCTGCTGGGCAGATGCTGGAGCCCTGGCACAGGCTGCCCCGAGAGGTGCTGGGTGCTTCTCCTTGGGGGTCTCCCAACACCACCTGCACATGGTACTGGGTGGCACCCTGCTCTGGGTGGCCCTGCTGGGGCAGGGCTTGGGCCAGGTGGACTCAGAGGTCCCTGCTGACCTCAACTGTTCTGTGAAGCCCCATATTTGCTGATATCCATGGTAATCCCCTGCTGGCATCCACTGCACTAATCCCGGAGTGGAGACTGGATGCTAAACCTGCAGCAAAGAGTGCTAAATAGGTTTTAATTCAGATTGGCTTAACGCTCTTATTCAGTTGTCTACCCAATCAGCCTGCTTTTCCTCACTTCTGCTAATGAGTACAAACACAAACATGCTGTATAATCATGTAGTGGCTGCTTGGGTACACAAGCTTTCCCTTCCAGAGCAGCACGTATTACATCCAGCTATGGGGCAATTGCAAAGCAAATTGAGCAACGCTGAAACTATGCCTGTATGTTTCAGAATGCAATTGGTAGGTGAAGGGAGCTGCAGCCAGCTGCCAATGTTCCTCAGCAGTGACTTTTCACAGAACTGCTCCAGTAAAACCTTTTTTTTTTTTTTATATAGGTTACAAGAAAAAGCAGAGTGAGACTAATTTTTTCTCTTGGCAAAAAAAGAAAGAGAGGGTACATGGAAGTCATACACCCCCAAGCAAGAGCAAGGCTGGACGCAGAGACGGGCTCCGTGGACTGAAGGTGGGTAGGGGGCAGCCCCCAGGCGCAGGTGCTCTCAGCCGCTCTGTGTGGTTCTGATAGCTGTGTCCTGATGTGATGCTGCTGCGGGATGGGCACAGAGCATTGTCGGTTCCACCTCTGCTGTCTGGTCTCGGGCTGTGAACTTTTGGGACTTGCAGCTCAAGGATGAGGTGCTGGGGCTGGGGTACGCACATTTGGCTGATGTGCTGGTTGGGGTGGGCAGGCTGTCTGTGAGTCTGTGCAAAGAGACAGGACAGCTCTCTCGGGAGCTGCGTGCATAAATCCTGGTGGGTTTGGTGGCTGTAGGGTGAATCTGGAAGTAAGTGGTGCTGGTTTTAAAGAGCGGTAAAAAAAATAAAGTAGAAAGGTTTGATGCAATGCATCTAGGGTTTTTCGAGAGGGTGGTGGCCTGAACTAAAGCTAACAGTAGTGGAAGAAAAACTAGGTGTAAGGGTGTAAGAACATACTGAAGAGAGATGTTAATTCAACCTTGTGCATGAGATTATACCATGGGTCTTAGCCAGGGCCAGCATGCCTGCCAGAGAAAACAGGAGTTGTTGTTTTATTTTTAATTTAGAGGAAATAACTCTAATTGAATGTTCTGAGCCCGGAATGCGAGTATAACAATAAACGAATCACCCAGTGTTTGAAGTGCTTTTCTAATAGAGTAGTTGTAGCCCTGAACTGGGACTGTAAGAGCAAAATAAATTATCCATAGATGCTCCAAAACGGCAGCAGTTGTCTTGCAGCACTGTGATTTAAACTGAAGCCTGATTGTGTATGTATGATACTTGCTAAAAGACCCGAAGCTAGCTTTCCAAGAAGTGTGCCTTATTCCCAGAGTACAATTTGTAAACACAATTAGCTGGTTCAGACCTTTTGGTTTGTGGGTCAGGTGACAGAAAGAGGAACAAAGTGCACACAAGCATGTCACAACTTTCTGTCCTGGGCTAAAATGGACTGTGGACTGGGAGGAGACATCACTCCCTGGCATGTGGAGCTCGTGGCAGTGCCAAGCTGAGGCTGTCACGCGTGCCCCTGCACTGCATGAGGGTGGTGAGTGTGGAGTAATTGCCTAAAGTAATTAGGAAAATTACGTGAGACAGCACAAACTTTGGGCATAACACCTGCTCAACACAGGGTTAAATTCACAGGAATCTGTGGTGTGGAAAAAGAATGCCCCACTGCAAAAATTTCCCTTTGGCTGCCAGAAGAACAAAAATTAATCAGGGCAGGAGTATTAGTAGGCGCTGCATATACTAATATTTTAGGATTTGACATACTACATGGGCAAATGAAGAAACTCGCAGATGGGATTGTGCAGAGTTTGTTGACACATAAAAGGGATTCAGGCATAGTGAAACTGAGTCTGTTACAAACATCCATGACCTTACACCCTGCAAAAATCGCTCGTTTGGCAATATTAGTTGCCAGCAACAGCACTTATGGGAATTGATGGGGTGGTAACGGAATTGGAAGAAAGAGGCATTATTAAAAGGACTCATTCACCTTACAATTCACCGGTGTGGCTGGTAAAGAAAATAAACAGGCAATGCTGTTCTGCAGGAGATTACAGACAGTTAACTGCTAACCCCAGACCTTTGCCTGCTGCAGTTTGAAACATGGCAGAGATAGAGAAAGCCTTCTGTGTATCTACCACTACAATCACCCCAAAGGTTTATTATAAACCAGAAGAACATCCTGCAGGATTTTACACTGGACAACCTGTGCTTGTGAAAATGCCTCATGTTGGAACAGTAGCAATGGTACTAACTAGTCCCAAATATCCCTACACATGGGAAGTCTAAAATTGTTATTTCACCCTCTTTCTAACCCTGCCGGCTGAATACAACTGAGCATATTTTGTTTCCTTTTGTAATTTCCTTCGGTTAGCATGGTTACATAGACGTTTTCTGAAACAATCTTAGCACATGTTATGGGATGCAACTGGGTTATTTGGAACAGGATTAGGTATACTAAATAGCGTTGATGCTGAAGTCCCGATGAATAGAATAACCGCTACTACGGATGACCTAAGGAAATTGGAATGACCGATAAAATCATCCTTATTGGCCTTAGGAGCAAGTCAATGGCTTCTATCAGACATTTTATCCCATTGGGAACAAACTGAAGAAAATGATCATCAGTTTATTTTAAATGCCCTCAACACATTCGAAGCCCAAGACATTTGTTTTGACAGTAAACAAAATATTTGTCGCTTTGAGATACACCTAATGAAACCCTTGAAACTGTACTTGTATACATTGGGAAAGATTGTGTTTGCATTAGAACCTGTGGTGATTCTATAGTCAGAGATACTACTATTGAAGATACCAGTAATCACTCTGTTTATGTTTGTAATTTTACCAAAATTCTAGGATGTGATTTTAGTTACTCAGCTTCTGTCACCTCTTAGCAACTTACTACATCCAATTATATTCTGCTTCCTGATCTGCCACCTACTCCTATTGGAATGAACCTTACCTTGGTGAAGAAATTGCTGTTACATGAAGACTTGAAGTGACTGATGAAACAAGCTTGAGAAAATGGAATGAAAGACTCTGCTGTCCATCATGATATACAAGAAATACATCGAGTGACAGAAAGAGTAAAGAAAGATGATAAGGGTAAGAGCTTATGGCTCTGTGGAGCTACACAGGCAGATAGGGGAAGGAGCGGGGTCAACCACCCTGTAGGTCTCTGGCCTGTTGTAACCTTATAATGCACTGGTCAGTAACTAAAATGAACGTTGATAGTTTTTGCCCCTCCCATCCCCCCAAAAAACAGAAATAGAAAGAAATTCTGTTAGCGATTAGGGAAAGAAAGAAATGGTTAGGGATTATCCACATCACTAAACCTGTGCTCACAGGCTTTGAAGTCTTCCTCCCCTTGTTCTCCCGATGCCAGCAGCAGCACATTTTACTGTAAAAGGCTCGGTTTATTGGCAAGCCACATTGCATCTTGTCATTATTAAGCAAGAAATAAAGATCAAAACTGAAACGATAATCACACGAACCTGCTAGTGAAATAAGAGCTTTGAACTTTCCCTGTCTGAGAACAGACAGGTCTGAAAGCTCTCCTTATCAGCAGTGGGGCTTTACCCCTTAACAGCTTCTGATAAGGAATGAAACGGGCAGCTGCAGCTGGATGCAGCAAACAGGGCAGAAATGTGCTGTATTGGCATGGGGATGATGCTCTGGCACAGTTGCTAGCCCCCAAATCTTGCTCTTTCCGTTGAGGAAACCCATCCAAACAGTAGTAGCTGAATTGCTGGTCTCCACAGAAAGGTACGTGGTGAAGCTTTGAAGCACTGCAAGCAGTGCTTTCTAAGCAGCTATAAAGTGGAGCAGTTCAGTGGTTTTGCTTGGATCTGCTTCCTGACAATGGAGGGATGTCCATGAAAACAAAAAGAGCAGTTCCCTGGGGGAAAAACAACAGGGGAGGGAGATGCACAGACTTTGTCTTGTTTCCTAAATGCTTGGATTCCCTAAGGGAAGGATGCCCACAGCTCTTTCCCTTAGGTGCCTGCTGGTGGGTGCAGGCACCTCTCCTGCTGTGCATAAGGTTCCGCGGGCACCGGTGCATTGGAGCAGCAGCTGCCTAGGGCAAAGCAGGGCTCTTGCCTTCATGCCGTGATGCCAAAGGGAAAGGAGGAAAGTGGGTTGATGTGGCACACAGAAACCAGAAGGCCAGAAGGATCATTAACAAGAAGGTTGTATTGGCCATGTGTCAGGAACATAAAACCCAGAGTTTCCTTTGTAGTTAAAGGAGATGTGAGGAGGACCATCAGGGAACGGCGCCTTGTGTATTTACTTAAACATGGGTTTCCTTGCTCTGCTGTTGAGCTTGGCTGTGGTTTTCTGGTGCTGCCTTTGAAAGCTCTGAAGCCTCTTATCTGGAAGTAGCAGTTGGTGCTGGTAGCCACCACAAAGAGCTTTGTCCCACAGAAAGGAAGACCTTGTCAGTGGAGTTTTATCAACCAGGCTTAATACTACAAATCCTTCCTCAGAGGTTGTCTTTATTTCTCTTTTCAGTTTTGATTTCACAGTTGTTATAGGTGTGCTTCAAAGGGGTAAGCCTGAATTTCAGTAATCACCCAATAGTATCCTTAGTCCTATGGCCAGGCAGATGAGATCGGAGCAGTGTCTGTGTCCTGCTCCAGGGACCCTAATGTTCCTTCCTTCTTCCTTTTCTTCTTTTTAGTCTGTGAAAAGCTGTGCTTTTTAATGCATCTAAAAATCTGTACTGAAGGAAAAGTAACTCATGCATTTTGGCTCATGGTCTCAGAAATTTGATTTCTCAGTAGGCAAGAGATTTCCTGATGTCCTACCGTAGGAAAATAGGTATCAGCTTAGCCCTAGTAGCTACAATTAATGGAGCCTTAGGCCATGGGAATGTAGTTTTATCCTTTTGGTTTTAAGCAGAGAAACTGTAACCCAGCCCCAGTTGAAACTAGAATACAAGGGAGTAGAAATAAAACTTTTACCTAAAAGTTTCCTAATCCTGAGGCAAGAGGAAAAGACAAGTCACACTTGCAAAGAATCGCCTGGAGACAGGAGACCAGCCAGGAGAAGATGAAGCCCCAGGCCCAGAAATGCAGCTGGACAACACAGACGGCGTGCACTGGGGATGTGGAGGAGGGAGGACTGTAAACTGGAAGGCTATCAGAAAATCAGGGTTGCTCCTTGGAGGCACCTAGCTTGATCTGTAGCTGTAATTTAACTCAGTAGAAGACTTCTTGTTGGCTTATTAACATTGAGAAAACCTAGACTCAAACCCTCTTATGGTGATGGGCTTGCATAATTTCCATAACACCTACTTAGCAATGGAGGAAAAAAAAAAAAAAAAAAAGAAGAAGAGGAGTTACGGTCACCATTTCGTTTTTTTCAGGGAGAAATCAAAGTGACCATGAACCAAGCCCTGCATTTTAACTGCAGTTTCTTTTCTCTAGTCCTTGGTCTCTACAATTAAAGGGAAAATTTTAATAGCTAGTTTTGATA